ACACATGTCTTTTGACTTGTGGGGGAAACCCAGAGGAAACCCACGTGAACATGGGGAGAACATGCAAACTCCACACAGAAATGCCAACTGATACATCCGTGGCTCGAACCAGCAACCTTCTTGCTGTGAGGCGATTGTGCTAACCACTGCACCACCGCGTCACCCTGACTGAATTTACCTATTCATTTTTTATTGTATTTTATTTACATTTTTTCTTCATTATAAAAAGATGGAGGCTTTAACTGTATTTAATGATAGCCAAGCTGGGACCTTAAAGTTGAAGTTTAGTTTGGGTTGGGTTTGTTATTAGGGTAAAATATCGAAACTTTACAGTGTTGTATTCTGTATTGCATTCTGAATTAATAAAAGTTAATCACTACAATTACACTGTTATTACTTTTTGAAAGTGCAGTAAACAACATGACAGTCATTAGTTAGTCAAAATAATAACTATTATAATAAACTGGCCACATAATATGCAAAAACTGTAATGTTGTCTTGCACAAATTGAAAATATTTTTTCTCTTTCTCTGTATGAAGAAAAATAAATGAAAGATAATGCATGTAATGCAAATAAAGCAAAAAAAGAAACAATGTAGCCTGATGCAAGTTGGAAATTACAGACGAGGGTACATTTGGTACAATTTTACATTATATCAGTTTTTATATCAAATCTATGAATTTATATTAGTGTTTCATAAGGTCGACATTTTGTATGTAAAAACAATCTTTAAACTGTGTAATGGCCTTGATAAATTCTTCCTAAATTTAAATTACCTATTATTCATCAAATAATCTGCCTGCCAGACGGAGATTTCTTAGTTAGTTTGAACGATTAAGCGGCAATCACACAACATCCCAGGGGTCGAGTCACTCCAGACAGCGATAATCCGTCTCTCCGACGCGATCCAACAAAGACGGAATCACTCGAGCGTCTATTAAATCTCAGTCTCAGCTGTCAGATGAGGATCATCTGCGGACAAATGCCACTGCGTGCAAACAATACACAACTAATGATGCACAATGGCTTGATTTGTCTAGACTATATTTGATCTTATTGCGACTCTAAATATGACTGTGTTTTCTAACCTCTGATTGCACTTCTTTTTGGAAAGATGCGACCATTTGTTTAAATCGAGTAATTTTAAACATAATTCTTCCATTTTTTAAAAATTCTAAACCAAACTAAAATTCATAAACTATCACAAGAATACAAAATCATTTCACCCATTAACATAAATGATGTGAATTTCAACTCACCAACATAATGCACCACACATGTCTGTCCTTTTTTGGGGAAAGTCCTCCCTGTAAAAGCAGCGCCAGCAGCAGGAAACAGGAATAATGCTGTTAAATGCACGCAACTTAACAAACAAATACTTGTAGAAACTGTAGCGGGTAATTTTACCATCTCCGGGGGTTATGGTCTCGATTTCCACTCCCATTTTGTCCCGCTCGTGTGTCTCTGAAGAGCCTAACCGCACACTGCCTCAATCACAGCTGTTTGAGCAGAGGAGTGATGATGTCGGGTCACGTGACCGCGAAGAGAGGACGGCCAAAGAGACCAATGGCATCGCGCTAATTTAACATAAACCCTACTTTACTGACCCAGTCACTTTAAATATGACCAGTGATGACGAGTGAGGAACGTTCATAATGCAAGAAACATTATATCTTGATGAGGTGTGGAAAGTAGGAAACATCTATCTATCTATCTATCTATCTATCTATCTATCTATCTATCTATCTATCTATCTATCTATCTATCTATCTATCTATCTATCTATCTATCTATCTATCTATCTATCTATCTATCTATCTATACATCCATCCATCCATCCATCCATCCATCCATCAAAAATGCTGGATTATTTTAACCCAGGGGTGGCCAACCCTGTTCCTGGAGAGCTACCTTCCTGCAGATTTCAGTTGCAACCCATATCAAACACACCTGAACCAATTAATTAGGACCTAAACACCACGTGACAATTACAGGCAGGTGTGTTTGATATGGGTTGCAACTGAAATCTGCAGGAAGGTGGCTCACCAGGAACAGGGTTGGCCACCCCTGTTTTAACCCAATGCTGTGTGTAATTCGTACTAAACGGCAAAGTTAAGTAGCCTAAGTTATTAAATGAATTTTTTTTTCTCAGTCACTTTGGTGCATTTCTCACAACACTATTTATATTTGCACAAAGGTTAATGCATTTTTCAAAACAATTACCCATTTGTGCAAATCAGTAGCAGTTTCTCATTTCTTCCAACAAATTGTAAATGCTTTTAAACATGCATCACTTGCTTTCATACAACTCTCTGCTGTAAATTGCTCACACATGAACATTATCATGTGCTTATATCACGCCAGTCAAAATTAACTAAACTTGTGGATGCTGAATAGTCATTTCATATAAAACTAATAGTCATCTAAATGTCTAAAATTGAAAAATGTCTTCTAAATTGAACAATTTCATGAATGACCTATTACAGACCTATGTATGTTGTAAGTTCAGTTCCAATATGTACTGCGATGTTGTTTACAGTTGTGCACATCTCTACCCAAAGAGAGTTTATGTTTGTTGTAAATAAGGGTGTATTGATTCTTTTGCACATTGCTGTGAATAAATTAGAATTGCAAAGAGCAAATGCAGTAAAAATGTGAAACATACATATTCATTGTCTTGTACTCAGATACCTTACTAAATGCAGTAATGTCTAACTTTACTGTAGTTTTCAAATGGCTGTGCAAATAGTATAGTGCTGTCTTGAGTATTTTCAGGAGGTGCCACCAAAATCTGACTTTATTGCATTGGAAAAAATGTACAGAGTCATTATGAAAACATAACAAAGCCATTTGAATATCTTGTTCATAAACAATGATGTCAGGACTTTTCATCTTGATCATTCTCCGAGAGGCACTGCAGAGTGAAAAACACTCAGGGCTGCCATATTGAAGTGTCATTCCAATCTCAAGTGCTCAAAACTGGTCACTGTAAAAGGCTCTTCAGGATGAAGAATTTAGAAGGGTACAACAGAAAGACACTTTGAACCTTTGCACAAAGGAGTTGTTTGGTGTCACATCAGTGCGTTCCATTCAGAAGGGCTCATCCCTATGCCCCTATATCTTTTTGAAGCTGTAGGCCTATGTCAGTTCAGAGAGTAAACGCTTTGAAAGGATCAGGGTGTAAATTACATTATATTTTCATAGATGGTACATAGTGTGTAAGTTCATAATGTTTCATGTTTCATGTATGTCAGATGTGTAGTGTGTAAAATGTCCAGCAGGGGGCAATAACACATTAGTTGCATTCCAAATGAACACTGTACAGTATGTATACTGTGCACTTACACGCTCAGCCATAGAGTATGGGTTTAGAGTTATCCAAATGGAAGTCTTAATAATATTTTACGAACTTTACAAAATAGGGCCTTTTTATTTTTGCTTGCACAATGCAAAATAATCCAATTTTACTCCTTATAGCTCCTTTCACTTCAACTGCGTGAGCAAATCTGTGACCAGTGAGTGTTCAACATTCCTTACTCATGTTTGAATAAATACATCATCCAGGTATTTCAAGTACACTTTTTAGAATTTTCTCTGACTGTGAATACACTGCTCACACCATTTATACTACAAAATGGCGTAGAATACTATGCAAGTACGCAACTTGGGATGCACACATATTGTAAGGGTCTGTGTAGCTTTAGGTATGTCAAAAAGTAGACCAGAGGACAGCAATTGCAACAGCAGTCTTGTCCCGGAGGTCACTGCTTCATTCAGACTTCATCCAGTCTTTAATTCTTAAAAAGCCCAGTGCCAAAAATATATGCTGTAATACAGCCCAGTGCCAAAAAGATAATGTCATACAGCCCAGCCCAACTGAAATGTTGGTTCAAATTATTTTGCAAAAAATAAAGATTAACTGCTGAAGAACAGATATTTCACTGATTTCTTCACCCAAAAGAATCAAACAAAGCTAACATTAGCTAATTTTTAAGCTTAGTTCTAGAGTAGTACAGCTATTTGATAACCGCTTCCGCTTAAGATTGTTTTGCACATAGCACCACCATAACTGATTCCTGATTTTTTATTTACTTATTTTTTATTTTTTGAGAAAATACAAATGACTGAATTCTCAATGACTAACTATAATAATAAAATACTTACAAGTATATTTAATTTAAATATTGCACATCCCTCCCATGTAAAAAAAAAATATATATATATTTGCAGTATGTTAAATTATGCTTTGTCCTAAACCCTTCTTTTTGAAGTGTATTAAATCATGCTATTTATGTGACTGTACATGCAAAAATGCTTCATTTTAGCATTGCTATTTTAAATCATGCCAGAAACTTGGTAATACTTGCTAGTAACATATATGTGTCTGTCTGTCTATTTGGGACAATGTGATGAATCATAGTAGAAACATTCTACATGCTAAAAGTTTTTATTAAATATGTCAAATCCGACATGAAAGATAAAACTTAAGTAACAAATATCCTAGCTCTGTACTTGGCAGAAACATATTAAAAACTCTTCTGAACTAGCCTATTTAAAACCTTCGAAAGCCAACTTCAAAGTTTTGTCTCCTTATTTTCCTAGTTAGTACTTTATATATGAAGAGTTTAAATGCTAAAACCTCTAAGTGCTGTCTGAAATTTTCAACTAAAATGAGCTTTTTTATCATGTGTGTATAGTTTCAGTAATATTTACTCTCTGCACAACAAATAGGTTATTTTCATTGCATTTAAAGTGAAATAACAACATAAACAGGAGGAGAAAAACAAAAACTTTATAGGAACATTACAGATAGCAATAAGTTTTTGCATCTGAACTGTAGTAATCTGGTAACTCTAGTAATCTAATACTACTAATAATTCCCTTCTTAGACTTTACAGACCTAAAACTTGCTTATAGCACTTATTCATTGTTGCTCTTGGTTGTGTAAATTGCTTCCTTGTCCTCATTTGTAAGTCGCTTTGGATAAAAGCGTCTGCTAAATGACTAAATGTAAATGTAAAATGTAAATGTAATCTAGTAATCATTGTGTCATTAAACTGTCAACTGTTAAATATAAGTGCTGTTTACACTCACATCAATCTATTTGTCTGATATGGTGAAGAAATACACACTGCACCTTTAAGCACACTAATGTTTTTAAATTGTCCTGAGTGCCTTGCAGCACTGTATGGCTTGAATGTCTTTTTATTCATCTCGTCAGCTCATTAGAAGAGATCTCCATGCCCGGGAATGAGTCTGAGATTAGTGAGACTCTTAAAAAGAGTCGGGGTCCCCTTGAGCAGGACTTTAAAAAAATCCCAAAACCTTTACACTGAGATGAAGCAAAGCAAGTTCATGATCAATAGCTGCTACAAAGTTACAAAAGTAGAGACAGTCACTGATTTCTTCATAGAATTATTTCTTCTTCTCCTTTCAAGCCGTTCTCTGTCCTGCGTAAACCAGGATAACACAAAATGATGACAGTTAATACAGCTATTGCAACTTCCCAAGAATCTTGTGCAAAACTGAAATATAGTGTAAGAATTTGAACATCACTGATATAATAAAGGCTTGCGTTTCTTCTAAACTAAAATAATTCTTAACCTTTAGTTTAAAAAGACTGCTTCAGTATTGAAGGGAAGTTGTGGTAACAGACAAGAAAACAACAGAAGCACGCTATTTTTGCAGTGAGCATTGCATATCTATCATTATCATTGTCTCAAATCTGTAGAAAGCATTAATGTTGCATGCAAAATAAAGGCTCATCTGAACCCTCAAACTGACAGAAACACATACCCTGCTTTGCTTAAAGCTTCCTGGATTTTCCGCCGTCGCTCTTCATTGATGGGATAGAAGTAAAAAAGCACCATGCCAATGAGAATCAGGCAGATGGGCACAGGGGCAAAGAGAATCCGGAGTGCGTAAATGACCTTTTCATTGTGTTTACAAGCTCCAGGCTTGTATCCTACAAAGCTGAAGAGGTGAGAAAGAATTTTGATAAAGCTTTGAGGGTTTCTAAATGATGATGCAGTGCACAGCAAAATAAATAAACGGCAACATCTTTAGACAACACTTATTCTCATTCAGTATTGTTTTGATTTAATATTTTTAATAACACATACTGTATGAAACAGTCCGACTGGAAAAAGCTCTTACTGTAGTACCAAGGTAGACACTCCAACAGACAATCCTCCTCCAAATTTGTTAAAGAACACATAGCAGGAGTAGAACAGTGGCTCTAGATCCTGGCACAACGGGTTCTTGACTTTAAAGTCATCCACTACATCTGGCAGCATCGACCTGAAATAAAAACAGCTTGGTTGTGTAGTATATTACATCCTTAATTACATAAAATATTTGAATGCAAATAAGATACTGAAGCGTGCCAAACTGTGTCAGCTAACATTGTTTATGTCATACTGTTAGATAATCACTCTTAGCATCAGCAATGGTTTAAACCAGAGACTCGCTAGTATAGTTTTGATAGATAAGGATTGTGATTAAGGTCAAGATAATTGTAGTGATATACATTAGTGTCATGTGAGTATGCTCTTGATGCTCTTGATAGTCATTTTACACAAACCAAATAAAAAAAAAACACTGCAGTATTTGGGTGCCTTGGTATTTTTTACCATTAATAATGAAATGTGTATATTCCATACAAAGTATGAAGCCGATTTTTTAGATCATGTCACATGACTAGAAGTGCACTCATTACATTCTGAAAAGTTGAGATGTTTTCAATTGGTGCGCCTGGAAAACTTAAGACACGATATGTGAACAGCCCCTTAGCCTACTTTGGAAACTGTAAAAAGGTACTTAAACATACATCTCATAGCAGTTTGTAGGTCAAATGAACACTACGGGGCAGCATAACAAATTTTACACGTATTCATTCACACATTGCAAATTGGTCCCAACACAAACAACTAAAGAAACGCGTATCGTTGGGAGGTCTTGTTTGGGGTGGTATCATTAGGCCCTGCAAAAACATGCCCCAAAATATATACAGTGCCCTGTAATGTGTAAATTTGTAATCTGAAACATGCCAATAAACGTACAGTGCTCAGCAAATATAAGTACAGCTCTCACAAATCTCTCTTTTAAATTCATATTTTTAATAGGAAGCTCTACAATATTATATGTGTGCATATAGGTTGGATTAGTCAGCACTGAAGCCAAATCTGGAGATTATTTACAAAATTACCAAAAACTAGTACAACCAAATTTACATGTTATAGAAAAATATTAAATACAAATTTAAAAAAGAGGAAAAATCAAGAGAAGCAAAAAAAAAAGAAAAAAATAAATAGTTGAAATTTTGTAGGTTGTAAGTTTTTTTTTAATTATTAAAATTTTATTGTATTATCTTTCAATTTCTAAATGTTTAGAGACTAAAATATTACTATAATAAATATACCTGTTTCATAAATCTGTTTTGTTGAAATTCACCAAAATACATTGCCTTTATTCACTGAGAAACAGATAAAAATATTCCTTTTCAAAATGGGGTTTAGTCAGTTATGCTAAGCACTTTAGCTGTCCAACAAACCTAGACTGCACATTTCAGTACATCCACATTGTTGTTGATATGTATGTATACATTTTAAATGAATATGTGTACCTTAGTAAATATATGCACAACTTAGTTTTGCACTGTTTCTTTTCACGCATGCCTTTGTTTATTTTGTATATACTACCTTGGTAATTATATGAATATGGACTTTTTTCACAAGACTGTTATGATGCATTTAACTGTCATCATAATCTTCAATCTTCAATTCTAGAAAGTTTTTAATATTTAGATTTGTTTTCAAATGTATGAACATTTATATGCATTTATGTGTGTATTATATTATCACTTATGCAAGTTGTTTCTAATGCAGCATCTATGGGGCCGAGAGTAAATTTGACGTTATTCTCTCCTCTGGCTGCTGTTATCAGTCTCACACTGTTTGTTCCTTTTTCTGAAAGACTTTATAACACTGTCAAGGCATTTTTCTTTTATTATTTCAGCAAAATTGTAAAAATATATATTTTTGGACCCTCCCATTCACTGTGCTCCAAGTTTATATAACTATGATGACATCTGCTGCTGAGACACCCAGAAATGTGAAAAGGTCTATTGTATTCACATTAGATGGTTATTATCTGAGTCTCAAAGTGTCTTCAGAAAGAAAAAAATACATTTAACTTGAAAAAAGCTTGCTGAATATACAGTTTTGTGAGAAATATCTTTTGATCTAATAGATTACTTTGCATGGACAGCAAATGACGACAAATGTGCAAAGATGCTTTGTTTCACAATTCTTTTTGATTTATAAGAATAAATGTACCCAGTTTTGATAGACCTAGTTTATGTTCATTTCTTTATTTATATATCTTATTATAATTATTTTGTTTCTTATTACGTTTTACTGGTTATGTGAATGACTCATTGGTAAACAAGTTCAAATAACAGATCGTATTACTTAAGTAAAAAAAAAAAAGTTTTGCGAATGACATTTCACGTTTTTTAGGCAGATTTATAATGATAATAAAGAGTATTTTATCACTCCCTTCTATAAAAATATTCTTTCTCACTTGACTTTGTGCAATAAAACAGCATGGGAGGACTGGGGTCGAATTTAAGGATGACATCATTCTAAATCAGCCAAACATAATAATGGCAATCATATCAACTGACCACCATCTGGGTTTGCGTAATGTGTCAGTAATGTAAGAGGAGAACTCTGGATGAAAGTAAAGTCAGTGAAAGAGGTATTATATCAGTTACCAAGGGAGTAGATAGAGGGCTGCCAGACTTGTGCCAGATATCACCGACATAATAATGAAGACGGGTAAATTACTGTTCACTAGAGATATTACAGTTAGAGCTGGGATATAAACCTGCAGAAAAGAGGAGAAAGAAGGATGAAAAGTGTTCAGGCTGCATTTAGTATTAATATTATTGGCTGTGATTGTAACAGTATAAATATTCTGTTTCTGTGCTATCATGAATGATCCACTTAGAAACCCAAAATGATGCTCACTGAAAGGCCGATGAATATGGTGGTCTTCTTTCCTATTTTGACTAAAATTGTCTGCCACATTGGGATGGATATTGTCGCTGATGTCTGCACAAGAATAGATTACATGTCAGCAGCTAAAAACATAATTCTTTGTTACTCATAAATTAATGTAATTTGTAAAATAAACATGAGCATTTAAAATATGAATCTTTTTTTTTGCTTTATTATTATATAATACTGTACTTTAAAGGGCTAGTTCTCCCAAAAATAAAATTCTATAATAATTTACTCTCCCTCCACTTGTTTCAAACCTTAATGAGTTTCTTTCTTCAGGTGAACACAAAGAAAGATATTTTGAAGAATGTTGGAAACTGATATTCACTGACTTTCAAAGTATTTCCCCTTCTGCTATGGATGTCAATTTCAATATTTTTCAAAATATCTTCTTCTGAGTTCAACTAAAGAAAGATATTTATCAAGGTTTGGATAAAAACTAAGGATTAAATGATGAGTATATGTTTGGGTGAACTGTTCCTTTTTATAAACAATTTCATGATTTAATATATGTAGAATAATGCGTTTTAATGTATTTATTGTTCTTCATGTAGTAACAGATGAAAAGTAAATTCTTTTTTATATATTATTTAAAATGTAATATTACAGAAGATACATTTTTTGTGTCTTTATAGAACAGATCACCTTAACAAAAAAAGCTCCTTCTATTATACCTGATGTAATACATTTTGAAATAATGGATCCCTCACCAGTAATATAAGAACAAGATGCTGGAAATATCCTCCCATATTTGCTGCATGAGTACAGAAGAGGGCAAAATTCCCCTGAGCCATCTGAAACAAATATTCGATATATAATTCCAGAATATAATTGGAATATCATTCCAGCAAATGTCATACCTTACAAATCCGTATTTCTAAATTAAATTCTTAAACTAATAAGAATCCACTCTATGACTAATTTGAAATCCATCCAAGAAACCAGGGCATCTTTCTTGGTAAAAACCACGTTTGATAAATAACAGACTCAAGTGCTTCAAAATAAGATAATAATAATGCAATAAAACATCTGACCTGAAAGGCTAGCGAAGAAAAGAGGAAGCCAAACACAAGCCGCACATATGGAGTGTGTCCCACAACCATCTTCATTCCGGTTAGATAGGGGACATTTATGCGGTCCAGGTTACTCAGAGGCGCTGAAGTGAATTAAAGAGTCATGCAAATCATTTTATTCAGTCATTATATTATAAAATGTATCATGTCCAGCCACTTACAAGCCTAAAAATATGTTGATTTATGAAATACATATTAAAAATGTTTGTGTGTTTAGGGAAACATCATAATATAGTTTTTGCTACACAAACAAAATGTGTTAGACCAAAACGAATCCCTTATTTGCACTGTTTTGCATTTTGTTGCTTATGATGAGAACACAGAATTCATTCAGGAAACGAATGTGATCAACAACATTTTCAGAGATGACTAATCTAAACACCTCTAACTGGCTATACTGTATTCGTAAACTCAACAGAAACGTGTGATTCAGAGCTGCTGAATAAAAAAAGAAATGTGATGCACTGTGCACAGGTAGACTGTTGTGAACTGGCACCTTTTAATAATTCTCACATTAAGTGCAACAGCTATAACTGTTAACAAAAAAAAACACTGACATTTTGGCTGTTTACTGATGAACAACAGATGCTGGAATTGCAAACCATGTTAACGCATTTAAACTTACCCAACTGTTCCTTCACTCCAAGAAAAAGTATGAGGCAGCACAGAAAGTACAGCATTCCTAACACAAGTGCGCCAGTCAAATAGGCTCTTCTCTAGAAATCAAAAAGGTGTATATTCAGCTAAAACTTTTCAACATCAGTGCTTTCATTTCAAAATAGCAACAACCCATCAAGCATTTTTTCTTTGTGTTTTTGTTTTAAAGATATCTAATAGACATCCAAACATTAGTTTTGGCTAAAGCAAGACAATTTGGGCTGTCAGCAAAAATCTAATAGAGGTCTAAAAATAGTCCAGAAATATACTACACTCTCAGAAATAAAGGTACAAGTGCTGTCACTGGGGAGGTACTTTTTTAAAAGGGATACATTTGTACTAGGGTCCTAATTTGTTCCTCAAAGGTATACACTACCTGACAAAAGTCTTGTTGACGATCCCAGTAGTAAGAGCAACAAATAATACCTTGACTTCTATTTGATCATTTGGAAAAGTGGCAGAAGGTAGATTTTTGCATCTCAATCATCACAAATATTGACCTATTGGAACCCACATGGACCCAAGATTCTCACAGAAATCTGTCAAGTTTGGTGAAGGAAAAATCATGGTTTGGGGTTACATTCAGTATGGCGGCGTGCAAGAGATCTGCAGAGTGGAAGGCAACATCAACAGCCTGAAGTCCCAAGACATTTGTGCCACCCATTACATTACAAACCACAGGAGAGGGCAAATTCTTCAGCAGGATAGCGCTCCATCTTATACTTTAGCCTCCACGTCAAAGTTTCTGAAAGCAAAGAAGGTCAATGGGCTCCAGGTTTGGCCAGCCCAGTCACCAGAAACGAACATTATTGAGCATGTCTGAGGTAAAATGAAGGAGGAAGCATTGAAGATAAATCAAAAGAATCTTGATGAACTCTAGAACTCCTGCAAGAATGCTTTCTTTGCTATTCCAGATGACTTTATTAATAAGTGATTTGAGTCATTGCAGAGATGTATGGATGCAGTCCTCCAAGCTCATGGAAGTCATACACTATATTCATTCTTTTTTTCCACTGCACCATGACCTTATTTTCTATACCGTAAATTATTTGTTTCATGACAAGACTTTTGTCTAAGAAAAGTCAGATCTTACTGTCCTAATGAAATACTTAAAAATCAAAGCATGATCATATTTTATTTAGGTAAAAACAGCGTAATCTAGAGGCCTTTGTGTTTCATATAAGCCACTTCTGATACTAAATGATCAACTAGAAATCAGGTTAGTATTTGGTGTTCCTAAAACATTGATAGACGACAAGACTTTTGTCAGGTAGTGTATATCATTATCTAAAATCTGTCAAAAGGTAAGCAGTTGTGCTTTTTGGGTATTGATATGTACCCTTGAGGTATTCATCTGGACCCTTTTGGTACAAATTTGTACCTTTTGAAAGGGTAACACCCGAAGTGCTCTTGTTTTTTAGAGTACCTATTTTATTAGAGTGTAGCCATCACTTAGACAGGAATGAATGATTAAACATGTTAAAACAGTCTAATTGATGACTAGTCAATATTTTTAGACCAACAGCCTAAATTTAGCTTTGCTTTAACCAATACATCTACGTTTGGATGTCTATTAGACGACTTTTAGCACACAAAAAAATGCAACACAGGCTCATTCCAAAACTGTACCCCATATACAATTCTGGAGAGAGTGAAATACATCCCAGTAGGTGTGTTTTTTTACAGTTTTTGTTTTCGCAAATCCCCCAGAGGCCGCTGTGTCTGCTTTTTGAGATCTCAAATTTATCTTGCAGGTAACGAAGGGCGGGAGGGAATGTCGCGGGGGCACTTTTGATCATTTTGGAAGGGCACTTTCTATCCAAGACTGAAAAGGGCATGTGCACTGCACAGGTTGAGCCCTATGTGTGCACGTGCCTGCGGCTGTCAACTGACTGACTGATTGAATGACTCTTTCTCCTCCTTCCCTAAACACAACCAATAGTGTTTTCAAAAGCACTGATTGGCCAGTGCCCACCCACTTCTCTAAACCCGACTGACAGTGTTTTCAAAAGGAATCCAGAAAAAGAAGCCCTCACAGCCTCCTGATTTTTAGCATATTTTCTGATCTTACCACATTATCACCCTGTTATTTACTTTTGTTTTTGTCTTAGCTGCTTTCTGAAACCTTTCTTCAACGCAGGCAAGCATGAAAAAAACGGCATCATACAGCCCCAGTGTTTGTTTTAAAGACGACATGCAGCCATAGATAGCTCTGGCTACATGGTTTGTGATCTCCAGAAATGTATATAGGCTACATTTTCAGAACGAGCTTGTGTTGAAACAAATGCTTGCTAGGAACTAAATAGGTTCCACAAATTGCATGAAAATGATGTTCTGTACAACTCACTGTATTTTGTAAAGTGTCAGAAATGCCATCCAGTGGGCCAGTGTAGTTTCCGGAAAGCTCTTGCGTGCTGTTCTGTAAACTGCAATCGTGTGTTCTCTTGGCATGGTGAACCCCGACTATCTGCCCCTGAATGGTGGCTCCTGCCAGTGTGGCGAACACTTCCATGCCCATTCCTGTATCATGACATCTCATTTAAGCATACAAACTGAGAAGTAACAGAACAATGGTTATAAATATGATGCGAACTTCACATACTGTTACAAATGTCATATAAGTCTAATAGAAAGGTATTTATATAATGGATTACTATGAATCAAAAATAATTCAGACAACAGTTAGTGTGACGATATTTACATAACTATCAATACTTTTCTGTCAACCCTTAGCCCCAATGACAGCTTGTATGGTATCCTGATCCTGTCAACCGGGTTCATAAAAACGGAACTTCAGAATTTTTCAATCAGCATTCAACTGCTGGTTTCTGGTTCGAGTCATGGCTGATTCGAGTCCCGGCTGATCCAACTGAAAGGCTGTGGAGTGTGCATGTTCTGCCTGTTCACGTGGGTTTCTTCTGTTTGCTCTAGTTTCTCCCAAGGCATGCCATATGAATGAATTGTGTCAAATAAATGGGATGTAGTATATATGTGTGTGTGGGTGTTTCCCAGCACTGGTGGTTCACGAGTTCTTCGTTGTACTCTCTGTGCTGGGTTGCAGCTGGAAAGTCATCCAAAAAACATGTGCTCAAAGTAACTGGTGGTTCATTCCGCTGTGGCAACCAGTGATGTGTCATTCTTGAACAATTTGTTTATTTTGAACAAATCTTTTGTATGACTCAGAAACAATGAATCCTTTCAGTGAGTGATTCGTTCATTTGCGCATGCGCACATTTGTGCAGGTGGAGTAAAAGATTATTTCCTTTGAGTCTTCTATTGGGTTTGAATCATTCTTTCGTTACATCAAAGACAGAAGCCAACCATATGCATTTAGAGCTGGTAAAAGATTTGATTCATTCATCTCTCAAGTCCTTGGGTTTGAGTCATCTCTTTTTACATGCTGTCACGTGATGAACGAACGACTCAAAAACCAAAGGATTCAAACAGTGAATTAATCATGGCTCCTTTTGGCTCAGACTGTGTGCTTTGGTTAGGCGTATAAGGGACTGTCTGTGTGACATGAACAAACCCATCAAATCTGAAGACATGCCAGAACAGGTGAGCTGACATAATCATACACAAAGACCATGTTGAATAAATGATTATTTTCTCTTCAGCATTCTAGTTATGACTTGTTTGGTGTAGTTGTAGATGAGTTTGAAAGCAACTCGAAAATGAACGAAAAGATTTGTTTTTCTCACTGAACGAGACTCAAAGGTCAGAGTAAAATGATCCGAACTTCCCATCACTAGTGTCAACCCCTGATAAATCAGGGACTAAGCCAGAGGAAAGTGATTGAGTGAGTTAAAAAGAGAAATGGTTTAACTGTATTTTTACCTAAAGTGTTTATTAAAAACAAGTGCAAAAACAGACTTCCCTGAGCTGTACTTCCACTGTCTCTGGCTGGAGAAAGGATGTTTCTTCACTGATGATAAGTTTATCATTAAGAAAAACAGACCTATTGTTCTCTCAATTTTTGCCTTTTTCTTGATAGGACAGTACATAGACCAGTGCAGAGAGCATGTTTCAGAGAGAGGACGTTATCAAAAACCTTGGGAGAGAAATTGAACTTCTTTGTACTGTACCTGAGGTGAATATTTCCGAGTGTTGCCAATGAGACTATCGGCTCCAAAAATATTCTGTTGATTTTAACTCTGCTTCCTTTTATTCAAATTCACATTCCAGTCCAAAGCTCAAAGGTTTCCATCCCTGTTTTTTTATTTATTTTTTTATTTACCCTGTTGAAAGTGCTTAGTAACTTGATCTTATTGGTGTGATTGATACTATTTTCCAGTAAGATAAAAAAAAAAAAATCAATGCATGGCTGATTATTTTCTGATATTTCCTGATTTCTTTTCATCTTTCTCTCTATTGGGATTCATATGTATTTGTGTAAGCTGTTTCATCAAACTGAACCTAAGACACAATGCAATTTCACCTAATCATCTCTTGGTGTTTTTGCAGTTTTATTTTCTTACTGTATCCAGTAGCTGAGTCTCGATCCTTCTGATTTCCCCCAAGAAACATGTTTAGGGAGGAATATGGCACATGGTAGCACTGAGAGGCAGAGAGAGGGAAAACTACTTTAAAGGCAAATGTAAACGTGTACAAAATCAGCTGTTTGCTTATTATACAGTAATAAAGAGTACTATATTTCACTGTAGAAATTTCAGCTTGTTATCATCATGTGGTGGCCACCCGTATTTCCAAATGTATTGCAAAATATGCATGAAAAAACATAAAATGACTTTTTATTATTTTGTACTGTTCTCTGACATTTATTTATAATAATTCCAAGGTACAACATTGCTTAATAAATATATATCTTGTTTTGACCCTTTCATCGGAACCAATTGAATAGGTGTTCCTGATTTTAGATCCAAAAGTAAAGACCCGCTAGTATGATTGGCTAACAGTCTGCATATTTAACCAATGGAAACTTCTGCATGAGCTGTATGTTTGACAGACTACATTCTTCATAGATGGCCGCTGCTGAGACTTAATGACATTTAAAAAATGAGTACATATCAAATGATCTGTCACACCAGACAAAGCAATAGCAACAATACAGCTGAATTTTGCTTTAATGTTGGTATCTTATGGAAGGGAACACAAAGACTGTAGCTGTGTTCGAAATAGCATACTTCAATACTATATAGTATGCTAAAAACAGTATGTGAGCAAAGTAGAATGTCCAAATTCATAGAATTAAAACAACAGTATGTGAGAAGTACCCGGATGACCTACTACTTCTGAAGTGCGCATCGGATGGATGCTACACTATCCCATGATCCCACGAGAGAATTCATGAATGTGAGTGAAGCGACGCAACTGACATGAGTAGGTCACAAGATCATGACAAAATGGTGGATGTAGCACATCCGAGTTGCATTCATACTACTGACATTTATATCATACCTGCCAACATTTGTCTCTGAAAAGAAGAAATAAAAAAATGGGAGGGTGGCGGTAGATGGGTCTGAAATACGGGAGGCTCCCAGGAAAAATGGGAGTGTTGGCAGGTATAATTAATACTGTTTAGAATATACTTTTCTAATGACCGAGTAGTACGTTTAAATTCAAATGCAGTACCTACTGAGTAGTAGGCGGTTTCGGACACAGCCTGTATTTGTACATTTGGTTTCTGTGTAGAACTGCATTTTCATCTGTTATTATTTAATTAATACAAAATTTGTGGGTGAAGCTAAACAGGCCACAACCTGTCATTATGGCTGCATCATATAAGCTGCTTTAAGGCTTGCAAGAAGTTCTGAGTTCAGAAACCTACAGTGTTTTAAAATACAATGAATGACCTTTCATATTTAAAAAGATCAAGGGAATTTGGATTTCTCAGTTTATGACCCCTTTAACCGCACCCATAACTGCTGAACCTCATCTATTCTAAATGTGTAAAACAGTGTCAGTTAACTGTATGCAGATAATAGTAATAGTGGTCTTACACTCATAAAGGTGTCAAACAAACAACACCATATGAAGTACCAGCTGAAACTGAAGGCAGGGGACATGGTGTCCTGTGGGGTATACCAGAGCATGATGTATGACAGGATCCCGAGTGGCATGGTGAACACAATCCTGTATATAGAGCACAAATTAGCACAGAGCAAGCATAATGTTGAAGAATATCTAACATTAAAAATAAATACAGTATACTGTTAATTTACATGCTCTAAACTAGTAATGTGTGTAAGCTAAGCACCCTGTGTTCAACCTGTGAAATATCTAAATGAAATAGATGTAGTGCTATACTGATATTACCCAGTACACTAACCAAGGAATGAGTTTGCCAATTCTGGTCCGGCCACTTTTGCTCACAGCATATCCAATAAGAGGATCTGTAACAGCATCCCAAGCTCGACCGAGGAAGAGAATGAGGGATGCATAAAATGCTCCCATCTATTGAAAAAACAGAAAATGATTCTCAGCCAATACTCACTCTGCCCCATTTTTAAAAAATCATTTGTATTATAAAAATGCTGTTTTAAATAGAAACATGGTTCTTCCAAGCTGTAAGTACTCAACATAGGCTTCTAACTTTTGCAGCGCTTTACACTTACAGTATTTTTTACTTCCTGTGCTAACCATTTAGCAAAATACTACAGAAGTTGGCATGCAAACATGAATTGCAAATTGAGCTGCAGCACAAAAGCATTTTATAAATACTCACACAGTCACAGTGATGAACTTTTTCCATAAGAAAATGAAATGCACATGGTTTAATGTTACAGTGTTTCATTTAACAAGACTCCCAACTACTAGGCTACACCATAATCAGAAAAAAGGAAACCATAAAAACCAGGACACAGAAAAACATGTTAGAATAAAAAGTATGTCATATTGTGTTTAAAATACCATATTTGAGAACATGCTTTAACAATAAGTAAATCTCAAGTAAGTGATATGGCTGGTTGCATTATCTGGTACAAATGTGAAGGAGAATATCCTAGTTTTGAAAAGCAATGTAAATCCTCATTTTACACAAACACTAATATTATAGCATGTTTTTCTGGATCACTAACACAATAAATAGGTGTGTTAAAATCAAATGTTTTTCCTTAACATACATTTTCTTCAAATTTTTCACATCATATAATCATATATTTACATAATATAGACAGTTTTTTTTTTGTACAGATTCATTATTCTATATATTGGCCAATTTAATGTGATGTCAATATGAGAAATGCTAGAGTAAAATCGAATTTCGTACACACAGCTAAACACCAAATATACTATTTCTTTTACTTACTTTCACAACATCCAGTAAAAAGATCTGCATGAAAAAGCCCTTGGCGTTTGCAGTCATTTGATAAGGCATTCCTCCAATGGCATAGCACAGTTTCCTGGACAAAGGGATGCCTTCTTTCTGCACGAGATCAACAAGTAAGCATCAGTGCCTCTATTTTGTGAATGTTGTAACAACAACGATCTTGTGAATATTACGTTAACAATGGAAAAAGTTGAAGTAGTCTAATCAAACGTGTTCTCTTGTTTAATAGGACCTGATAAAAACACTTTAAATTTCTCGATATAGTCTGCTCATTTGTAAAAAGCACATGTATATCATCACCCCAACAACAAAATCTTCTAATAAACGCCATACCGGTTGGTTGTCGTCATTTTCCGTGGCACAGGCGATACTGTGATCGGTTTGCTTTTCCATTCGTCCATTCCCAGTGCCGTTGGCCATCGTTCAGCAGCTTATGGAGAAGTTGCCCGTTATAGTTTTCTACTGCCTCTTATAATGATCGTAAGGTGGGCGTGGTTCTTAGTTCCTCTGCCTATCTAAGCGTTTGAGGATGCTCAAAAAAGGACAAATGTTTCGAAATAACATGTCGGTTTCTCTCTCGCACTAATTGTTCGACAAAGCATGGATATGGAAACTTTGAAGGTCAAGTTTGTGTTTTCTCTTGCATGTGAGTTTGTCCGTTTCAAACACCAAATTCAACTTGCATTTGTTTGTGTAAACTCTCGACAAACTTCCATTTTGACTGTTGAGTAAACATATACAAAAAGAGAAAATAAAAATCTACCGTTTAATCTTTTATTAATGTTTAGTTTATAGCTCTGTCACTATTACACAAAAGGGAAAACATAAAAATTTGAAACTGAAATAAATATAAAACATTTTGGCTGGAGAAGGAAAATGAGCTATAAATAGGACCAAACGGAATCTGCGCGCATTTTTGTGATATTTCAGCGCAGAATCTTTTTTTAATCTGCGTATTAATGCGGAATGATTTTGGGAGTATCATGACTAAATTAATATATGAAAAAAAATACCATTTAACTTTTTATTTAATGTTTACTATGCAAATCCAATTTAATCCACTTTATTTGGTAAACAAAGCAAGTCTCTTATATAATATATCTACTAAAAGACAGAAAATATTACATTAAAAAACTGTATTGTAAATAAATCATTTGAATATTTTCAGATTAGTCAGTAATATTACTGAAATTAGTTTAAAAACCGAATAACTATAAATTTACACATATTTACACACGTAAATAAATAAAATCGATGGGCTAAAAATCTGCGCAGATTCCGTGTGGGCCTAGCTCCCTGCTGAAAAAACCAGCAAAGACCAGCATGATTTTCATGCTGGTCTATGCTGGTTTAGCTGGTCTACCAGCTTGGTCTTGCTGGTGATGCTGGTAGACCAGCTTGGTTTTGCTGGTTGACCAGCTTGGTCTTGCTGGTAGACCAGCTTGGTCTTGCTGGTGATGCTGGTGGACCAGATTGGTCTTGCTGGTGATGCTGGTAGACCAGCTTGGTCTTGCTGGTGATGCTGGTAGACCAGCTTGGTCTTGCTGGTGATGCTGGTAGACCAGCTTGGTCTTGCTGGTGAAGCTGGTAGATAAGCTTGGTCTTGCTGGTAGACCAGCTTTGGCTTGCTGGTCAGGCTAGTCTACCAGCTTGGTCTTGCTGGTCATGCTGGTCTACCAGCTTGGTCTTGCTGGTCATGCTGGTCTACCAGCTTGGTCTTGCTGGTTATGCTGGTAGACCAGCTTCGGCTTGCTGGTCATGCTTGTCTACCAGCTTAGTATTGCTGGTGATGCTGGTCTATGTTTGGTGGACCAGCAAGACAAAACTATCACCCAGATAGCATACAGTTCTGGGCCAACTAAGGCACGTATATGGCTCACTTCTGGCAATGGCAGGAGACATATGGGCCAGATGTGGCCCGTATGTGTCATACCAGGTGTAGTGTGAGTTGTGGCCTGCTGTATGTGGGCCAGATGTGGCCCGTCTGTGACACCCCTGGTGTAGTGTGAGTTCTGGCCTGCCGTATGTGGGCCAGATGTGGCCCGTGTGTGATACCCCGGGTGTAGTGTGAGTTGTGGCCTGCCGTATGTGGGCCAGATATGGCCAGTGTGTGACACACCGGGTGTAGTGTGAGTTGTGGCCTGCCGTATGTGGGCCAGACATGGCCCGTGTGTGACACACCGGGTGTAGTGTGAGTTCTGGCCTACCGTATGTGGGCCAGATATGGCCCGTGTGTTACACACCGGGTGTAGTGTGAGTTGTGGCCTGCTGTATGTGGGCCAGACATGGCCCGTGTGTGACACACCGGGTGTAGTGTGAGTTCTGGCCTACCGTATGTGGGCCAGATATGGCCCGTGTGTTACACACCGGGTGTAGTGTGAGTTGTGGCCTGCTGTATGTGGGCCAGACATGGCCCGTGTGTGACACACCGGGTGTAGTGTGAGTTCTGGCCTACCGTATGTGGGCCAGATATGGCCCGTGTGTTACACACCGGGTGTAGTGTGAGTTGTGGCCTGCTGTATGTGGGCCAGATGTGGCCGTGTGTGACACATTGGGTGTAGTGTGAGTTGTGTATTTTTAGTTCCGGTTTAACTTTAAATTAACGGGAGCCTTTGAAGTGGTTACAAATTGTTAGAAATTGAAAATCAAAGTTAATTTGTCTTTCTAAGACTGTACACTTTCGTTTTATGAAGTAGAAAATAGAAAATAAATATTGTAAATTAATGTAATGTGATGCAAGGATTTACATTTTTCCGATTGGCTACTTCTGCCTGTGGACTGCATACCTAATGAGTGGGAGGGACTTTTCTCTCAAACAATACACAGACTCTGATGTAAAGCAGCAGCAGTTCTGTGTTTCCTGTGTTTTATTAACATTATTGTCCCTCATCAGGCAGTGAGAGCGCTACACCTTCTCTGAAAATAATAACATCGCATGTTCTAAATAAGACTTTCTAAGATTGAAAATGATTCTTTAGGTTATTAAGAATAGGAATAAGCTATTGCTTATCCGGGAAAGTATATGTTTGTAACCTTATCACATATTAATTCAGTTTATTTCCTCAATAATGGATTTATTTTTACTTTAAGGCTGCTATGAATATAAATTTTTTATTATCTGTTATATGTAAATGTTCCAGCATGAGTAAAATTCATAATTTTTTTTCATATTACCTGGTATGTCTATAAATGTCTATAAATGCAGTGAGTTTCATTATTTATTATGTTTTGATCTATTAATGTTTTGTTCAGTTTCTCCATTTGAATGAATTAAGACAGAGTCCTACCGCCACCTACTGGGTGGATTTAATTTGCTATTAGTACTACTTTTTAATGAACAATTTTACAAATGAATTCATAATCTAATAATGCTGAATTAAAGTGCTGTTTTCTTGGTGTTATTTTTTGCAATTCTACATTTTTATAATGATTTTGTTTGATTAAATGCCACATACAACATTGTTCTTTTTTTATTTAATTATAATAATATATTATTTAATTATTTAATATATTTAATATTAAATAGACATAAATGTTTTGTTTATGAATAAAATAACTATATAGAAAAAATGTCAGAGAACTGACCAGTAGAATGTGAATAACATGAATGTGTTTGTGAATAAGCTGATCTTTGTAAACAACACAAAGTTTTATTTACTTATTCTACAGAACACAAAAAATAATAAAAATAAATCTGACCAATTTTAATGCGCACACCTAACCCCGCTCCTAACCCTACCCCTCACTTTGATGTCACTAGCTCTATTTGAGTGCATTGTTTCTGACATTGCATGTCAAACTGTGTGTCTCAGCTTGCATATATGCAAGTCTGCAATCAGATACTAATGCTTCTGCAACACAGCCCTGAGGGTACAATCCTCAGTGCTGGGAAACACCACACATTATCTTAATCACAAACTACAGCAAATTTAGTTTATCCAAAATTCACTTATACTGCAAATTTTTGCACTATGAAAGAAACTGGAAACCAACAGAAACAACATGCAAACTCAACATAGAAAGGCCCAAAAGTCTATCCTGGTTCTGTGTGTGTGCACCTGTAACAGCGTCAACAAATTTTATAGACAATATGCTATTAATAAGCATGTTAATTAACAATTAGTTAATTGTAAATATATCTTAAAGTGTTATAATTTTATATAACAAGCTACTGAATATTAAAAATAACAGTAAATTTTCTAGAATTACAGCATGTTACATAACAGAGCAATGACATGTTCACAGTATGTCTGATAATATTTTTTCTTCTAGAGAGTCTTCGACTAGAATAAAAGCAGTTTTTTTTTTTAAAGTGTTTTAAGGTCAAAATTATTAACCCCTCTAAGCTATATATTTTTTCTACAGTTTCAGAACAAGTCATCATTTTTATAAAATAACTTGCCTAATTACCCTTACCCTAATATATATATTATATATATATATATATATATATATATATATATATATATATATATATATATATATATATATATATATATATATATATAAACATAATCATAAAACTGCCCCCTGGTGGCGAATATGTGTTTCGCTTCATCCTTGCATTACGGTGGAGTGGGCGGAGCCTCGTGAATGACGGTTATTTTTCAAACGAGGAAGTGAAGTCAAGTCCGCCATTTCATCTTCTTCTTTATATCGGGTAAGTTATTATTTTAAAATCATATTTGTGAGATATTTGTCGTCAGGTAATGTTTTTATTTGTTAGAAAAGCCCCTGTTTTGAATAGTGATAAAACTGTAACTTATATGTGGCTAATATGGCTAAAAACGGCTAAGAATGATGGCAGCCGTCAGTTCAGTAACGTTAATCTGTTAAGTTGATTGTGCTCGGGGTTTTAACAAATTCATTCAAATTCAAGTTACAATTGAAATGATCAATAAGACGTGTTATATGAAGAACAGCGTCGAAACGAGAGCTTGAATGAATGAATCATATGCTGTCCGTTTTATACAGTTGTAATAGGTGCCGAGTTCTGCTTTTGTACTGGTTTTAGCTCAAACACTGAACGAACAGTCTCTTTTTGGTAACGTTAATCTTAATGATCTTGATTTGCTTGTTAATGTGTGTTTTGTCAAGTTTTAGCAAAAGTTTGCAGAGTAACGTTATGTGGTTCATGCTGGCCACTGTTGAGACTGGTCTGCATTAAAAATTTTTTAAAGCCAAAACGTTTGAAAAAAAATCCACAGTTGAAACATGATGTGTTAAATGACTTATGAAGGAAATTAATTAGCTAAAAAAGAAGGCTAAGTGTGTTATGAAATATTAAACCTTGTTAAAAAATAAAATCAATTGTGTTAAATAAGCTTAAAATCCATATCTTATGTTTTATATTACTTTAAAACAGCCTGGAAACTGAATTGCACCATTAATCTTGTACATATGTATCAAGTACAAACAAATGGTTTTGTGGCAAGTAAAAATAATATTTTTATAAATTGATTGTATTGTATTAATTTGTTACAGAAAAGAAAGGAATCATGCAAGGATGCAAGCTGAAGGAAAGGACAACTCTCACATCAGTGCATTACTAATTGTTTTACTTCATCATCAAGCACACCAGGTACAATATTGTACATATTTTGTAACTTGTATATGTCAGACTGGTTGTTGGGAACTGAAATAATATATTTTATGTTTTATTTATTATTAAAATATTACAAGATTTATTGCTGCTATTTTATCACTGTGTGAGGTCATAGCTTATTTAAAATATCTATTATTAAAAAAATCATATTTTAAAGAAAGTCTAAATGTTTCCACAAGGTAATTTATTGAATTGTTTTCTGAAAATGTAAAATTTGACAGTATTGGTGAGCTGGAAAAACACAGTCTGTTGACGTAACTTTAAAGTAGATTAATTTACCTTGGATCGCATGTTTAAGTTATAATTTCAGAGTGAAAAATGTAAAAGAAAACCATTGAAAACAATGGCATAATGATTTTGCTTGTTCACAAGAGGTACTTGATTTATTTTTCCTGTAGTGATACATAAGTTTTTAAAGACTAATGCTTGACACAAAAATTTAAAGGGATAGTTCACCCAAAAATAATGACATCTTTTATCCTCCACTTGTTTCAAAATATTTTTTTTGTTCTGTTGAACATAAACTCAGGTGGTGCGGTGCACAGTGGATAGCTCTGTTGCCTCCCAGCAAAAATGTTTCTGGTTCGAGCCTCGGCTGGGTCAGTTGGCATTTCTGTGTGAAGTTTGTATGTTCTCCCCGTGTTGGCGTGGGTTTCCTCCGGGTGCTCCTGTTTCCCCCACAAGACATGCGGTACAGGTGAATTGGGTAAGCTAAATTGTCCTTAGTTAATGTGTGTAAATGAGAGTGTATGGGTTTTTCCCAGTGATGTGTTGCAGCTGGAAGAGTATCTGCTGCGTAAAACATGCTGGATAAGTTGACTGTTCATTCCACTTCGGTGACCCCAGATTAATAAAGGGATGAAGCTGAAAAAAAAAATGAATGAACACAAACCCAGTTTTTCCTACTATGTTAATCAATAGTTACAGGTTTCTAACATTCTTCAAAATATCTGCTTTAGTGTTTAACAGATTCAAACTGCTTTGAAACAAGTAGAGGATGAATAAATGGTGGCAGAATAGTAAACTATATCTTTAAATGTTTTATTCTGTATGTTATGTGTATTCATATTTGTCTTGTCTTTTGTCATATTGTCCTTCTAGCTCAGATTGTGATGGACCTGGAATGCGACACCAGTTACTCTTAAAGCCTGATTTATACTTCTGCGTCAGGGGACCGGCGTAACCAACGGCGCATGCAACGCGCGTGGCTGTGCATTTATACTTCTGCGCGCTGTCTCTGTCGGTCTGCATTAACACTTCCGAAACGCTAGTTGGCAGTGAGGTGTAAATGTTCCTCTGTGTCGAGTTTCTTCGCTACTTTTTTGCTTTTCCTGAACACTTCCGGGATGTACAAGTGGCTCAAACTCGCTCATTTTGAGGCAGGAACCGGTGGACGTACAACAACTTTAACTATGAGGTAAACACAAAACAAAACTTTCCATCCGGAGCTTCTTCACGGTACTCCACACTTGTAAACAATCGCTCGCTTACATTCGCGCTGCTCTCGGTCCCGCCCAGACTCGTCAGCGCTACCAAGCCGACCAATCACAGAGCTTACGCTAGGCGTCGTTGCGACGTGTAGTTAAATTTTTTGAGAAGTGCACATCAGTGACGGCGACGGCCACATCGAAGGGCTATGCGTCAGCGCCATAGCATACGCCGGCGTTTGACGCAGAAGTATAAATCAGCCTTAAGTCAAGAACCAAATGAAGCACCAGAGTACAGATTATGGAGGTATCTGAAGTTGAACTAACTGGAAGCAGGGAACCATACTAATAAAGTTCCTTAAGGTAAAAGCACCTGCTTTATTTTGATAGGAAGTATTTTTTTATAGAGTTCTATTGTTTTATTCTTATTCTAATTTTATTTTCTTCATATACTGAATGGAAGTCATTCAAATTTCACAACAAATGATTTGCAGATTGAATATAAAATATAATGACATTTTAATGCATTATTTCTTTTGGTTATTCTTTACATCTATATATGGGCAAGTATTTAATCAATGAAAATAATTTTTAACAACTTAACTAAACAAATTACTCTGTTGGACCCTAGCAAAATCCTCAAACTAACACACACTCTTGTGAATGCATTCTCACATTCATACACTCAAAAACACACATTCATACAACAGTCTGTCTCAGTCTGACTCACACACAACATCCTCTCTCACAGATTTTTCTAGCAAACCTCCACCACTAGCTTGTCCTTTTATGCTGCTTTTATTTCAAACATTTTATAGCATGATATAGTCCAGGTTTTTATCACTAAGTATTTTTTTTTCCATTCAGCAGTTTCCTTGTAAAGATGAACCCAGGGAAGGATCGAAAGTGGAGAAGACCAGATCAAGAAAGACTACATCAAGATCTGCGGTCAGTTCAAAGGTACTTTCACTAATTACCAAGATTTCAGACTATGAATTGATGGAGAAAACTTTGAGTGTCAGATCTTCCTACATCGCCTAGCAAAAATTCTTCCCAGTGTCTTGTAGTAGAAGTGATGCAGTCAATCGAGTTTACATTATTTCGTAAATTGCTTTCTGATTTAATAAAAAATATATTAACCAAACTTGATTAATGTAACAATTTTGATGAAAAGGGCATGTTTTACTAGAGCTTTTAGCACAAAGGCACCCCCAACTTGGAATATTGCTGTGTCTGACGTCACGGGGTTGGTATGCTGGAAAAGTTTTTAAATGAGGTATTTGTATGATTTATACATAGTCTGTCTTAAAGCGTAACTAAATTGTACAGGCATTACAGGTCAAAGCAATCTGTTGTTACATTTATCAAAATAAACAATAAGGCTCTTAAAACACTGCTTTGAAAAATGTAGAAAATGTAAAAAAAATATTTCAAATATTTTATAATATTATAAGGAAGTATAAAACCTTCCTAAGCTTGAAAATATACTAAACTTCCTTAAAGGAAATAAACTTCCTTTGTTAGTGCAAATTCCTTTTTATGTAGTCTTGTAATTAAACAATTAAACCATTTAAACAAGTTTACACTTAAAAAAGGTCCGTAATGAAAATCCGATTTTTTTTTCCAAATGTAACTAGCTAAAATAGTACCATGTACTTTTACTCTGTATTAGTATTATTTACTAAAATCTGTTTTATTTTAGCAATATAATAGTATTTCTAGTCCTTTAATTTAATGTAATTTAATTTTCAGTTCTCTTTCCATCTACAAAAACATTAAAAAATTAATTTCACAAGCACATTTAAAATAGGTTTAATACTATGAAATATTATATTAATATTATTTTTTATTTTTTATAAATCGATAGGTAGTTCCTATGGAATGTTTTTATGTATTGCTGAGAATACATTTCAGGTGTTCAATACGTTGCTTGTCAGTCTTAAAAATAAAAATAGGTGCTTAAAAAAGTGCTTTAAAGTCCTTAATTTTAATCGAGTTGTGCCTGTATATACTCTGCAAACAGCACCTTTTAATTGTTGTCTTCTCCGATTTTCAGGATGTTTTGCATTGGACTGTTTTTTTTGGCTTTGACCCTTGCTTGCCCCTGACCTCACTCTTGGACTGCCCTGTTGGATTTTCAGTTTATTTAATTTTAAAAAAAAAATTTGGTTCTGGGTAGATGCTAATAAATATTTAATTGTAATTATTTAATGTAAATCAAAGGCGGCAACACCAAGGCTCCAAAAATACAAATTTATTAAATTAAAAAGGCTGACACAGAGCGTGTAACGTTTCGAGCCGCCGGCTCTTCATCAGACAAATTCTTTTTCGTTGTAATTTTTTAAATAATATGTTTTTGTTAAATATTCGATTTCTGTGTTTGTTCTGTCTACTCGTACTTGTTTATCTTGTCTCTGTAATTATCATTTGTTAATTTAATTAATATGCATTTTATAAAAAAATATATATATATATTTTCTGTGTTTTTTTTTCTGTATCTATTTATCTAATTTGTATATACATTTGTGTTTGTATGTTCTTCTTATTCTGTATATCCACTTACCTAATTTTAACTTTTATATTTATTTATTTGCATTTAATTTGTGATAATTCTGTATGCATTTATTTATCTAATTCATATATTTATATGTATTGCATTGATCAATCTGTTTTTGTATGCATCTATTAATATAATTTATATAAATTCTATATTTGTATTTATCAATTTATATGCTTCCTTTAAAGCAATTTTTTAAATAAAGCAATTTAAACTAAGCATTCCTTTTAATGTGATTTATATAGCTACCAAATGTAGATTTCAGCCACATCTAACCCAAAAGTCAGCCGCAACTGAACAAGATCTGGGCCAGATCTGTGAAATTGCATGGGCCGCATCTGGGCCAGATCTGAGAAACTGCATGGGCCGCAGCTGGGCCAGATTTCAGAATTTGCATGGGCCGCAGCTGGGCCAGATCTAAGAAAATGTATGGGCCACATCTGGCCCAGATATGGACCAAGCTTTTTCTGAGATATGGCCCAGATCTGGTTCAGTTGTGGCTGACTTTTGGATCCTTATGACAGCCACAATCAGGTTGAGTCATCGCCGTCATTCCGCGCGGTATGTGGGCCATATCTGGGCCAGATGTAATTTGCTATCAGTGACCAGCATGGTATTGCTGGTCACTATCAGCGCCAGCATCCCAGCTGCATCTCATGCTGGTGACCAGCATCCCAGCACCAGCATTCCATGCTGGTCATCAGCATATCACCCAAATCCCAGCAAGACCAGTATATGTTGTGTTTTGGTGCTGGTGACCAGCATGGGATTGCTGGTCACTAGCATACCAGCGCCAGCATCCCAGCAGCATCTCATACTGGTGACCAGTATCCCAGCACCAGCATTTCATGCTGGTCACCAGCATAGCACCCAAATCCCAGCAAGACCAGCATATGTTGTGTTTTGGTGCTGGTGACCAGCATGGGATTGCTGGTCACTAGCATCCCAGCGCCAGCATCCCAGCAGCATCTCATACTGGTGACCAGCATCCCAGCACCAGCATTTCATGCTGGTCACCAGCATAGCACCCAAATTCCAGCAAGACCAGCATATGTTGTGTTTTGGTGCTGGTGACCAGCATGGGATGCTGGTGACCAGCATGGGATTGCTGGTCACTAGCATATTACCAGCGCCAGCATCCCAGCAGCATCTCATACTGGTGACCAGCATCCCAGCACCAGCATAGCACCCAAATCCCAGCAAGACCAGCATATGTTGTGTTTTGGTGCTGGTGACCAGCATGGGATTGCTGGTCACTAGCATACCAGCGCCAGCATCCCAGCAGCATCTCATACTGGTGACCAGCATCCCAGCACCAGCATTTCATGCTGGTCACCAGCATAGCATCCAAATCCCAGCAAGACCAGCATATGTTGTGTTTTGGTGCTGGTGACCAGCATGGGATGCTGGTGACCAGCATGGGATTGCTGGTCACTAGCATATTACCAGCGCCAGCATCCCAGCAGCATCTCATACTGGTGACCACCATCCCAGCACCAGCATAGCACCCAAATCCCAGCAAGACCAGCATATGTTGTGTTTTGGTGCTGGTGACCAGCAAGGGATGCTGGTGACCAGCATGGGATTGCTGGTCACTAGCATACCAGCGCCAGCATCCCAGCAGCATTTCATACTGGTGACCAGCATCCCAGCACCAGCATTTCATGCTGGTCACCAGCATAGCACCCAAATCCCAGCAAGACCAGCATATGTTGTGTTTTGGTGCTGGTGACCAGCATGGGATACTGGTGCTTGTATGCTGGCCACCAGCATAGCAGCAGCATCCTATGCTGGTCACCAGCATCACAGCACCAGCATCCCATGCTGGTCACCAGCATAATACCAGCATCACAGCACCAGCATCCCATGGTCACCACAGCATAACACCAGCATAGCACCAGCATCTCATGCTGGTCATCACAGCATTACACCAGCATCACAGCACCAGCATCCCATGCTGGTTATCAGCATACCAGCACCAGCATCCCATGCTGGTCACCAGCATACCAGCACCAAAACACAACATATGCTGGTCTTGCTGGTGACCAGCAATGCTGGTCTATGCTGGTTTTTTCAGCAGGGCTATAAATGCTTATAGTGGGTATGCATTTTTTTAAAGGTCACTAATAATCTAATCTTTGGACTATTAATATCATTTAAAATCAATAAAGTCTGTACTTCAACAAAAGTACACATTTGTACATATTATACCTTTATTATTGTTTTATTATCTGTTGCATATTTCATACAACTGCCTTTCTCTCTCTCTCAGTTCAATTCAAATCACTTTATTGGCAAAACATACATGGGAACATATTGCCAAAGTGTACATAGCAGGGGGGAAATATGTCAATATAAAAATTGTAGTAATAACAATATTGATAAAAATAATAACAACAATAATAATATATATTTTTAAAAAATACTGTAAATGCAATATTAGGCAATATATATATATTTATATATATATATATATATATATATATATATATATATATATATATATATTTATATATTTATATATATATATATTTATATATATACACACACACACAGTTGAAGTCAGAATTATTAGCCCCCCTTTGATTTTTTTTTTCTTTTTTAGATATTTCCCAAATGAGGTTTAACAGAGCAAGGACATTTTCACAGTATGTCTGATAAGATTTTTTTCTTCTGGTTTTGGCTAGAATAAAAGCAGTTTTACATTTTTTATGAACCATTTTAAGGACAAAATTATTAGCCCCTTTAAGCTGTATTTCTGTTGGATAGTCTACAGAACAAACCCTCAGTATACAATTACTTGCCAAATTACCCTAACCTGCTTAGTTAACCTAATTAACCTAGTTAAGCCTTTAAATGTCACTTTAAGCAGTATAGAAGTGTCTTGAAAAATATCTAGTAAATATCTAGTAAAATATTATTCACTGTCATCATGACAAAGATAAAATGAATCAGCTAATAGAAATGAGTTATTAAAACTATTATGTTTAGAAATGTGTTGAAAAAGTCTTCTCTCCGTTAAACAGAGAGAGATAAACGGGGGTGAATAATTCAGGGATATATATATATATATATATATATATATATATATATATATATATATATATATATATATATATATATATATATAATTTATTTATGTATACATGTAAAACAATAAATACATACATAGATTTCTAAAACATAATATAACAAAGATATGTTTACTCTTTTTTTTTTTGGCATGTATACAAAAGTTTGTGGCATTTATAAATCTAATGGGCTACTAGATACGCAGTGAGTCTTGTATATTAATCACGGTGAAGCAGGAAGTGTGTTTTAGTCTTCACTGCTCCTGACCTTTAGATTCTCTCTCCTCTATAGACTATATTTTTTTCTTCTCTCTGTCTCTCTTTCTCTTGCTCTGATTTGGAAAAATATTTTTCTGTATTTGAGTGGATGTTGGGCTTTGCTGTAAATAGTTCTAAATCTAAAACGTTCAATAAATTAATACAAAAACAAAGGTTAATAATCCAAATAAAAAGGTGTCTTGATTTAATATAAATACAGGTGTTATGGATTCGCCACAACACCCATTGGATTTTCCAGTACCCCAGATTCCTCTCACCTGCTTCTGATCATTGTCATCTGTACACTCCCCAATCAGCCTATACTATACTATAAATGACACTGACACACAAAGCATGTTGTCCTGTCTCAGTTCACATACTCTGAACTTACCTTCTTTATGCCGACTTCATCATCTCCTGTGTTCTCCAATGTCTTCCCTGACACGTCCACGTCCATCATTCCAGAAACTTCTACTCAGACAAGGCAAAAACTTTCACTAAGCCGATGCTGATCGACCTGTCATTCATCTCTCCTGTCAATAAACAAACCAGTTCAGTTTGATTCCTCCTGACCACCAGAGAGTGTGCTAATCATCACCAGCTAGACAGGGCGAGATAGTATACCAAATTGCTCACATGTTGACATTGGCAGATCCACAAGGGCGTGAGTTATTCTAGCTGTTCTAAGCCTCTTTCGCTTATGGCGAGTTCAGACTGCATGATTTTTAAAGTAGTCATGTCACAGATGTTTTCACACTGCATGATTATCTGGGCTAGCATTTCGTCGCTTCTTTGTTTACACTGCAAGATGTATCGACAACAGAGTGTTTCACACTGCATGACTTTAGAATAGGAAGAATCGCCGACAACTTTGTCCAAGTTAAATTTCTCACATCCAAACATACACGAGAAGTGACATGAAAACAACGTGAGGTCAAGTCATATATCTTTTTATTAACTTTATAATGAGAAAGAAGCCTTTAGTGGGGTAGAAAATCTACATACTTATTTTTGCTCACCTAGCTTTTTGAAAGTTTGCAACTTTTTTCTTTTTCCATAGTTTTTCCTCCGTTTCTTGGGACCAAATAAGCTAAAAATGAGCCCTTTTAACTTCTCTCCAAACCTCCTGCTGGCCTGCAGGTACCCATACCAGTAGACACTGCTCTCTCATTGGCTGTAGGCAATTGCTGATGTTTTTTTCAATCAGAACACATTTCACACGGCATGATTTAAATCGCTGATAGATCCAGATATTTAGCATGCCAA